GAAATGAGAGAGGTCCCACTGCCGGAGGAGCCTCTGCCTCCTCCTCTGTTCACGGCCTCCTCTGTTGTTGTTGAATCGTGTCATCTTGCTCTTGATATGGTCTATTTGCCTTGAGGAATTACTGGCTGCGTGGACTTTACTGGATACGGTGTACTTTGGACTTGGGACGCCTGGTGGAGCTGGAGGGGGTTCCTCTTATTTTCCTATTGATCAGGTAGCGTCTTCGTCGTGGGGGAGTCGGTCGTATCGGAGCTCGTACTTATGCCTGTGTACTGTATGAACCCATCGTCACTGGCGTGTTGGCCGGATATAAAGACTGTGGGCTTTGGTGCTTCTAATCGCGGCTGGCGCGAGTACGAGAGCCTCTCCGTGCGATTTGAGCTCGTTCAGTGCTGAACGCACGGACAGGTGGAATTTATTCAGGCCGCGCGGTTTAGGACTTGTAGGCATCGTTGTGCGGGCAGGCACACTGGATTGTCGGGCTCTAAGTTGTGATATCGGCCACTCGAAGCCTTCTCCTTGTTATAGATAGCTGTATTGGTGTTGTAGTTGACTACTGGTTGAGTTGCATAGACTCTAGTAGCTTCGTCTTGTAGTTTCAGCAATCGGCGCTTGGCTGGGACTTGTTCTTCCCGTCGCTTCAGCACTGTTTGACTCGATTGGTCGTATCTCGCTCAATTTTTGGAGTTGGGAGCTTGCACTTGTCGTGGCATAGGCGGCAATAGGTCCTCTTTCGATCCCTGTATGCGGCCGTAGCTGTATCTCTCTTGGTTCGGTCGTCGTGTTCGTTCGGCGCGATCGGCTTTTGCTCGTAGAGTGGGTACCCAAAACACGCGATCGGCGATTACTCCTTCAATTCTTGTCGGATGGCCTTGGTTCAAGCATCAATATGGACCGGCTAGCTGTGCTCTCGACGATGATGTGCTTGGTTTGCTCTGAATCGGTCGACAAGTCGATCGGCCGATGCTCCGAGAGCTTGGAATGAGCGAAAATGTGAGGCGAATTTTCTCTGTTAGCTCTGTTGCTTTGCCTTTACAGTGAGGCTGCAGCGCACCTCTGGTCAATACCTGACCAATTCCTCTCAGTTCTCTCTCACTATTACAATACCTATTTCCATGGACAAACTCAATACAAACTTTCTTTCTGCTCAGTGTTGGATAAGGCAACACTGTAGCTACTGGCTATTATCAAGTTAATTTGTTGATTTGGGCGAGCTGAGCAGAAAGAATGATCTTTCTGCCAGGTTGCTCTGAAATCTGGATTCTGAGAATGCCAGTTTCCTTAAAATTCTACGTCGGTGCGGTCTTTTTCTTATCCGGGTCCGCTAAATATCTAGACCGGCCAACAATATCACACTTCGAGGCCTCCCGCGGGAGACCAACTTCAATGAGCTTCACAACGATCTCTCTCATGGATTGGTTTTCATAGCTTTCTAATCTCTCTCATAACTTTCATTCTCTCAAACACAAAACACTCGAAAGATCTTTACACTAGCTTTTAGCGTAGTGCACTCAAGTCTCTGCTGGCTGAGCTGTGGACCACCAAGTTCTATGGGGTCCGTGGGTATCCCACTGGTTGGGATGATGAAACTGAGCTCAACACAGACCAGGTCAATATGGCCACTGCTGCCCTCCTGCACTTTGATGGCAGCGTTGCTGACTTGGTCCGATGGATAGGTGGCCCACATGTGGGGGCACACCGAAACCATGGGGCAACATTGGATGCCTTGCGAATGGCTGGTGCCGACCCGGAAGTAATCTCCAGCCTAGACCGGATTTTCCACTCAGGGATCCCAGCCCACTGCCGTGCCTTCACTGATGAGGAGAATTTCCTCGCCTACTACAGGTATGGCAACCACACTACTGTGGACGACGAACCAGAAAAGACCTATAATGCAATGGTGAAGGACAACCGAAAGGGATACACGCTAGTGGTTGACAAGCGGGCAGTGCTGTTCATGTTGCACTCCCACTTGACCCCACAAGGAGTTGTTGACCTCAACACTATGTTCAAGAACCCACGGCCAATCTTTGACAGCAGTTTCAGGCCTACCCCGTCAAGCTATGCAATCAATGACTGGACCAAGGAAACTGAGCCCCCCCTCGCGTTTGCCACTGCCGAAATGGAGTTCATGATTTGGCTCTACAACACCCGGAAGGATTTTCCCAGGGAAGAGATATACATAGCTGACGACGATGTCAGTGGAGCTTTCAGACTCATGAAGTACCACCCAAACTGTATGGGAATGCACACTAGTATCCAGGCAGGATATGGTGTTGTCAACACTGGTGGTACTTTTGGAGACAATACGTCCCCATCCAATTGGGATACAATCGGCCAAGCCTGACGCCAACTGGCCAGGCATCTGTGGAACCATGACCCAGAGGTGATCCCAAGGACCCTCCCTCATTTGCCTGAGATCCAGTTGGCTGAGCCACCAACACCAGAAGAGACAGCTGGGTTTGCTCAAGCCGATGGGGACGGGATCAACCGGGGGATCATGAACCCTGATGGTACTCGAATGCCCCCACCCTACAACATGCATGTGGATGACAACTTGTATGCTGATGTCCGGTCACACCTGACTAGAACGATCTGTGCCAGTGTGGCCTCTCTGTTCGATGTCTTGGGTGTACCCAACAACCCTCTTGTGCCTTCTCCGCTGAGTGGAGACAAGTTCGAAGCCTGGTACAACTACCGCAGGAAGCTTGTGGGTAGGAGGTTCGACTCCAGAACGCTTACTGTTGGGATGCTCCCACACAAGAAGTCCCAGCTCTTGGAACTGCTCCAACTGTGGTTTGTCCGGGAGAGTTTCGACCTGCTGGAGATTGCCCATTTACTTGGGACATTGGAGAACCATACCAAGTATGCCAGGTGGGCACGTTGCTGGTGCTGTGCACTGCAGAATGCTGTCCGCAGGGCCCTTGTTGCTTGGTTCCACATCGTTCAACGTCGATTCAATCGGCAGGGCCGTGAAGCCCATCTTCGCCGGGAACTCCCCAAGTCCCTGCTTGGCCGTGTGGAATCCATGATCCACCGTGAACGAGCTAAGCTCCTTTGGACCACCCGCCAGAGGTTTGCAGTGGATGAAGACATGAGGGCATCTGTTGCCCATCTGCTATGATATGTTCGATCAACCGACTCCCCTTGGGAAGTCCCAATCGGCTTGATCATACCTAGGGAACCCCACTTTGCATCCCGTGGTGATGCCAGTTTCCTTGGCGGTGGAGCCTACTGTCTAGGCCTCGGTTTCTGGTTTGACATTGTATGGTCACCCAAAACCATCCATGGTGCCCGCAACACCAAGTCCAGCGACCCTGGATTCGTCCACATTAATTCCTTGGAATTCATTGTGGTGGTTCTCCAGTTGGCTGCTATTGTTACCAGGCTCCGTGACATCCCAGCTGGTACTGTGTGCTCCTATTTTCCTAATGGTACACCAGCCATTCCAGTTTGGTTCGGGGAAACGGACAACTCTGTTTCCAAGTCCTGGGAAAATCGAGTTACAGCCAGAACATCCCAAGGGCAGGGATTGGTATCAGTGTATGCCGAGCTTCTGCGGACATCCGTGATCCACACTCAGTGCGAGCACTTGGCAGGGGTGCAGAACATTGTCGCTGATGATATCTCATGGAATGACTTTTCTGTTCCTTTCCCTGTCCGGGTGCAACAGCTGTTTCAGAAGCATCCATGTCTCGAGCCCTTGGATTATTTCCTGCTGTCGCTCGAGCTGGTACAGCTCCTTACTTGCCGGCTGTACTCCAGGCACACACCAGTTCCATGCACTCTGCCGCCAGTGCTAGGACAGTTTCTGCCCGTCGCCTCCATTACCTCTGGTTCTGTGTGGCTATGAGGTGGGATGACAACTTGACTCTCGAAGGCACGGATCCCAAGATGCTTGAGAGAGCCCAGCTCCAGTTTGCAATGTATGCTGTCCATTTGAGCGCTGGGCACTCCATACATTGCAAGGCCATCAAGGCTGGGACTATTTCCCAATATATTCTGGCTGCAGCTACCCTCATCCAGAGTTTTACTGAAGTTGACTACAGAAAGGACAAGGAGGGCGAACGCTCTAATGGCCGGTTTCTTACAAGCGTGATGAAGGACATCCGCAAATATGAAACTATGGCCGACCGACGAGAGCCGTACGACCATAAAATGCATATGCTTGCACGACAGGTTGCTGCAAAGTTTCCTATTACAAGCCAGATCTGTGCTCTTACCGATGGGTTTGAGCAGGGAATGTGTGGCGGTTTCCGACTTACCGAATGGGCCCAGCCGTCAGGAAAGACGAATGTTGCCCGTCCACACTCCAATGGCCGACCCTTGCCCTCCTGTCAGACTTGTGCTGTTGTGCCCAATGACTACCGAGCTGTTACCGCTTCCGGTGGTAGGGTGGTTGGTTTGGCAATCTTGTCCACTCCCTGCAATGAGGTACTGCGAATCTTCGTCAAGCTCCGTACCCAAAAGAATGGCAACAACGGTGAAGAGCGACAGTTCGAGCGTAATCCCACTCCTGGGGGTTTGTGCTTTGTTACTTCTACGTACCGTGCATTGACCAGATTCGCCCAGATCCAGTTGTTGTGCCCAGCTATTTCTGCTGCTCATACACCACTGGCCATCTACTGGGACCCTCGTGTTAAACGTGCAAAGCTGGTAGATGCCCATGCCATCGAACGCTTTATGCGTAGACTGGCTTCAGCTGTCTACAATTTGGATCCCGTTGTGGATGCAGATGATCTAGCGCTTTGGAGCTCCACTCCATTCGCATCGGTGCTTACGTAATACTCGATATCATGGGGTTTTCTGATCGCGACATCCAATGGATCCTTCGGTGGAAGTCTATGACTTTCGCTACCTACTTTCGCAATGTGGCCCTACTGTCACGACGGCAGAATGCTGCATTTGATCGACTACAGGCAATGCCCTGTCTATAATTTTAAAACCTATTGGCCTATGACTCCTTCCCTTTTATACTTGGGGGGTTTCTTTTCGGTGATTGTTGTTTTATTGTTGTGTCGCTTGATACTTGGCGTTTGTTGTCGGTTTTCGGATAATGTCCTGGCCTGGATAACCATTTCCTCCTGCCGCGGGCTAAGCTGCGTCGTTCTGCCGACGGTTGCGTCTGGTGGGACGGAAGGTTGCCTTCCGCTCCCGTTGACTGGTCGCACCCCGCTGCAACACGCATCCCGTCATGACCTTGGACACCTCCGTCGCGTTGAAGCGTGGGTCCTCCTCGTGGAATCCTGGCTGGAGAACATCCAACGCGGCCCCTGTCAATCGTTGTGCCGCGTGCATTCGCTTGGCCGTGCACTCCAACGTGTTGTCGGCAAGGGCTTGTCGCACGATTTTCTTGGGCGTGACCATGGGTTGCCGACGACCTGCAGGGTCGAACACTGGACCTCTGTGGAAACGTCATTCGTGGCAAATTACTTAAGAGACGATACACCGAGGCTTAGGAGACGATCGAAATGATTTAAGAGACGAAAGCAATCGTCTCCTATATTTAGGAGACGATTCATTAGGAGACATTCCATTTAGGAGACGATCGTTTCGAAATAGGAGACGATCCGAAAGATTTAGGAGACGATACCATACAGTTTACATGGTGCACTTAGGAGACGATCCGTTGAGAATAGGAGACGATCCGTTGAAAATAGGAGACGATTTAATTAAGAGGAGACGAAAGATTTAAGAGACGATCCGTTTCGTCTCCTATTTTTCGGAGACGAAATCCATTAAATAGGAGACGATCAAAAGGATTTAGGAGACGATCGGTAGCACGACTCAAGTTTCCACAGAGGTCCTGGGTCCGCTTGGTTGTACCTGGGATTCTGCGTCTTGAACTTCCTTTCCAACCGGGAAAACTCTCGATCGGACATCCCAACGGTGCGGCACAAGAGCGTACGGTTACGTTCGCTCAGTTGGCCGAGAGGAAATCCTCGACGCCATTGCATGAAGGTGGCCTCCACTGCCGTACTCTTGCTCCCGGTGGCTCCTGCAATGAGCCCTACCGTGGCGCCCATGCCTGTCACCAAGAGATTGTTCTTGGCTTCCAATTCGGCGATGTATGCATTCTTCGCTGCGTCGTCCATCTTCCAATCCTGTTCAGCAATACAGCTGCGTCATTGGTTAGAAAGCATCTTCTGTGATGTTTATGTCATTGTTTCTGCCTTCGGCACTTACCTAAAAAATTCCGTTTGTGTTCTCTGCGAGACACTTTTTGTGGAGACCAGATGGTTTCTGCTCAACGAACTTCCAGCTCTGTCACGCGTTACACGCTCCTGAGTTCCTTCGATGAGCAACGGTCGATTCCCCCAAGAGTGTTTTTTACTCCCGGGATTCGCCCCGTGTGTTTTTTTCTTTCCAGCTGTGCTGGCTCGCCGCCTCCGGTGACTAATGGCGTGTACTTGCTCTTCGAGCAGCGTCGGCTGCTATTGGCTCTAGAAGCTAGTAGTAGTCCTAATTCTTGGTTCCCCCACCTCCCTACAAGAGGTTGGAACCACTCCTTAGCTTGTACCTACCAAGGCATTTCCCTTTGTAGATGTTTTACTAGCTACATTAGTCACTAAGGCCCCAGCCCCAGCTGAGGCGGTGGCAGTGAATCTTCGATTCAGCACAATAAACTGTCGAAGTTGGAACCGTGCGTGACGGTTGACTATGCAGGAAACCTACCCGGTACCAGGAGATCCACGGAACCCAATACGGTACGGCACCCCATACTGTACGGTAGTAGCTAGTCTATGCGCTGTTGGTAGACTACAGTTGTACGGTATGTGGCTGTCACTCGAGTGACTCGACTCAGTCGAGTGGCTCAGTCGAGTCCGTCGAGTCCTCAGTCGACTGACTCGACTCTTATCCAACAGGAACCCTGCTCATCTCTCAGTCTTAGCTCTGGTACTTCAAACGAAACAATGACGAAGCTCACGAGCAACTACGGCACTTGTGCTTCAGCTCTGGTCATTGTTGCAGACGCTCTGTGCTTGGCTATTACTCTTCCGCTCCAACCAGGCACGATTAGTCCCTTGCGGCGGCCCAGCGTGCATGGATTGTCCAGATAGAGTGCAATGAGGAGGGGCGAGCTCGGCTTTCGATCCAAAATTTCGGATAGCAGGAGGCCACCATGACGTTGACTGGCATGAGCGGCAACCGCTGGCGTCTTGGAACTTGGTAGGGGCTGTGGTCTTGTGTAGAAATGCAGTACAACTCGCCCGAACCATCGATGGAATGACTCTTGCCAAAGGTCTTTGGAACATCATCATAAGAAGCATCTGATCTTGCAGTTTGGTTGGGCTTGTTTGTACTGCAGAACGTGCCTCAACCAGCCGTAGAAACAAGCCCAAAGGACTCTCTCCGACCACCCGGTAAGAGCGGGGCAAGATACCACAGAAACTGGCAGCGAGAGTGGGACTGGTAGATGCGAGGCAGCCACTTTCAAACTGACATTCCTCAAGTTTGCACATAATTTTTCAACAACAAACGAATCGCATCAACGCAACACAACACCAAACCAACAAGAACCACTACACGAAGCAACCAAAACGAACAAAAGATGAAGGCATTCGCAACCATCCTGTTTACTATTACCACCCTGTTTGTCGCAGTAGCAAACGCGGATCTCCATCGAGCATCCATCTACGCGTTTGGTGGCGCCGACCCTCACATTACCACCTGGAGCGGAGACCGATTTGAATTCCAACGCCGAGGCGACTTTGTTCTGCTAAGCAATCCAGACTATTCCAACGGCTTGGGCTTGGAAGTCCAAGTACGAACCAAGGTAAACGACTGGTGGTCCTACATTGAAGCCGCAGTGTTGAGGATTGGAGATGAGACCGTTGAGGTGCGAGGAGGCGAAGAGTACAGCCGCTACTGGATCAATGGAGAAGAGGGATTTTCTGCTCTGGAGCCACAAGAGGAGATGCAGGTCTGGCTCCAACAAGGAGGTATTGAAGTGCACATTCGCCAGGTCAACTCCAAGCAATTCCAATTGAGAGTTGACCTAGGAAACGACGAAGGCGTTGTCTTTGAGACCTTTCAACAGTTTGTGCGTGTGGACGTCCAAGCGAACGATGCCGAAGAGAAGAGCTTTGCCAGCAACAGTCTTGGATTGGTGGGATCCTTCCCAAGAGGTGCCAAGGTTGGCCGTGACAAGACGACCGTCATTCGAAGCTCCACGAAGTTTGCCAAGGAATGGATGGTGCCGGCGGCGGAGACAACAGAGACGACTGTTTTCCGATCATAAACTTGGCTCCTGGCTGACAAGCTCCATGATCCATACAAGTAAGGCGAAAAGTTCCGCCTGTTGTATTCTGCAGCTGCAAACCTCTTTTTACTTGATCTACTTGGCTTGGCGAGATGGCATCCTTATCTCTGCCACCACGCACCACCCGGTAACATTATCTATAGACATTTCCTTATAAAAACATCTGCCCTCACAGAACTACATGTACCGGTATCGGTACTGCCAAAAGCACGGAACCCACAGCGGTTTGTGGACTTTGACATACCCTATGCTTGGAAGGAGGTCTTAGCCAACCAGACGGTGGCATTCCTTCGTGACATGGAGACTCCCGCACAGGATAGAGCTACCGCTTCCGCTATCGATGGACCGTGGCAACTTTCTATGGTACCTAAGTGCGGCAGACTCTCGCTCTAAGAAACCGAAGTGTGAATTCGGCTACAACAAAGTGCATGGAGTAGGTCTTCACTAGCTAGAACACCCTCTCATGACTCCAGTGTGGCCGGTGGGCAGACTTGACTGTGGGAAACACCTAGCCATCGGCTCGTGAGTCGTCCTCGAATGCTCTGGTCTGAATTCGCCAATACACGACGAGTTTTTACTAGTATCTTGAGCAAGACGGCAACTAAACAACTCGAAAGAAACCACTGCCCGCATAAGATTATTGGTTGGAAGTTGACTTTCTAAGGCGACAAGTTTTATAAAAGTTGACGGCTGGTACAAAAAAGCTGTTCAAAGAGTAGCTTTGCGGGGGAACGGGGAGGTAGAGATAGCTGATTACTGACACGAGTGCTGCCGATCTCTCTCTTTGTGGGCGGTAGCAATAATTGTTGTAATGTACAGGGAGGAGGGAGCCCCTCATCTTGAAATGATTGGAAGGTTTGAATGCGCTCATGGTTGGTGTCTCTTCGCGATTGTTGGTGTTCATCAATCAATCGTCATGATTGGGTATAAAGATTCGTCTCCACAAACCCTTGAAATAAGACCGAATCGTCCGAGATTCCTCGTTGCTTTCGTCCTCGTGGTGGTGTCTATCCTTGCTGGTAGTAGCAGTCGTCGTCGTCGATGATGATGATGAGGATTGCCGTCTTCGTCGCTGTTGCAATTCTTCCAGTGCCATGCGTTTCCGAGTGACTTCATCCAACAAATCTCCACCCCCTCGAACGTTTTGCTTTCCCTTTTTCTTGAGTCTCTTTTCCTTTTTCATGAATTCTTCCAGTGCCGCCTGTTGTTCGGGAATGGGAAAGACGGCCAAAAAATGATTGCCGGATGACATTTGATGTCCGGGGGATATATCGGGGAATCGACTGTCGGCACTGAGAATGTGAAAGGGTTCCTTCTTGTCGAATTTGGGACTGCCAAAACAAGCCATGCGTCGTAGAACAAAACAATTGTTGCCCCGCAATAGAAGTCTATTACCTCCCGGTGACGACGCGGCCAATTCGTACACGTGAATGGGTCGTTTCAGGACATTGGACAATGCCACAATTTCCGGTCCTCCACCCCAATAACTGTCTTGTTGCATGAGGTCGCAGTATTCCGAAGCACTAATCGAATACTGCGCCGCGGCGGCTTCGACCAAATCTTGTGCCTTTAAATATTCGTGTCCTTGCAAAAAGAGTGTTTTTCGTTTTTGTCGCAGACAATCGACGGCTTGTTTGCGCAAACAAGCCGATTGTCGATAGAGCCATCCCAAATGTTGTGGATATTGGAGCGATGTCCCATTGACCACTTGTGCCATGCACGTACTGATGGAATGAAAGAGACAATTGCCGTCGCCGGGAACTTGTCGAATATGAACTTGGACCATTTCCAAATGAACGGCATTTTGATGCTTGCCACCCAATTGGACATCCGTCTCCCAATCTCCGGGGATTCGTGTGTAGACACCGCGACAGTAGCCGGCATCGTTGATTTGGGGACTTGGATTCCAGGGAGGTCGTTCGCGCAACAGAGACGATGCTTCCGACGACGCTTCAAAATCGGTGGCCGAATCGGCCGCTTGACGGAGTTGTTGGTAATGACTGTTGTGCGTACTGCGAGGAATGGAAGGTCGCGGAGAATTCGAGTCGCCAAAGGTGGAAACAATCAAGAGGGCAGAAATCAAGAGCACTCTCAGTACATTATGTAGCACTACAGAGGGTCCTCTGGACATGTACAAGCCAGTGGAGGAGGTAGAAGAGACCATCGTGAAGGAGGTAGTAGAGTGAAGCTGGAGGTTGTGGATCGGTCCACCAATTATTTGCTCTCTGTACTTTCGCTGCAACAGCTGGCGACTTCCAGCCACAGACACACTCTGGGATTGCCCAGAGCAGATGTACATCTGTAGTGTTGAAGCTATTACACTTACTTGGATTGTGTTGATTTGTGCTGACGGCAAAATTCTTGGCTGTTGGCGTTTGTTGGCGGGAGTCGAGTAGAGTCGAGTGAGTCGAGTCACAGATGTCTTCTTCCACGTCATAAACGAGAGTTGATTTCTGGTCTTGGAAAAGAGCTTGCGCAGCGGCCCCCAATGTGCCGAGCTACTACTATACAGTACGGTACCGGTAGCACCGACAGCACCTTTTAAACCTTGAGGTAATACACTCTAATTGAGTCTTGTTTTCCTTTTTCAAAAACATTTTCTTCAAAAGTATGTTCTATGGAAGAGCCTATTCAATTTGACCAATCTGAATCTGAATTTTAAGAGCCTAATTAGGCTCTTAAAATTCCAACAGGTTCTTTTTTTAAGATTCAGATTGGAAAAGTCAGATTGGAAATCCACGCAGATTACACTGGGATCTGACTTTTCAATTTCCAATCTGAGTTCTAAGAGCCTATTGTAGGCTCTATAGGCTCTTAGAATTCAGATTCAGATTCAGATTATGCAACTTCAAAAGGCCTTGTTCTTGAGATTTTCCATTTTCTAAAAACCTTTTAGCTTTTTGCTCCTTTGGAGGTTATTACCCCAATGTGCAGGCCAGAACGGCTTACAAGGATACCAATAGTTCGGGTAAATATGGTGTTTTAAAGATGCCTCAGCTAAATGAGACGTAGTCTAGCTGGTAAATCGCTTTGAAATGATGATCTGCAGGAAGCATTTTACCGCATCTACCTGAAATTCAACCCTGGCTTCCTCCTTCCGTCATTGGCTCTTTTCTCGGAAAGGCAGTCCAAGATGGCACTGCTGAACGCATTCTGCTTCACAAAGCCAAAGCTGGGTCTCTGCTGTAAGAGTGCTTTAGCTGTGCTTGTAAAAGAGTCGAGCGTCTGCCTCTGTTTTCAAGTACAGTAGTAAGGAACTGCCCACCATGCTTCCACATCTTTCGCCATCGGGGGAAGTCTCCTTCATTCCCCAACAGCACACGCTCTGCGCATTCTGTCGAACTAGCTTCCTAATGTGTCAATGCACTGGTTTGGAATATGGCAAAGATTTCGTTTTTGTGGGTTTGCCTCCTCCACCCGCCAATGCGACTCGGGCCATGCTTCTGATGCGGTGGGTTAGTCTAGTACGCATGTCTAGATCCATGGGATCCTTTAATGGTGGACGATGGTACAACGACAATTTCAAACAATTGAATGCTTCCATGAACGCCCGTACAGCACTCTTAAACGAGATGATGGATGAATATGTGGCGCAGTTGCCCACCGACACTTTACGCGCTTCACTGGCTGAAGTCCTTGGTCTTGAAAATGGACCCATGACAGAGCAAGTGAAAGGCATAGCGTCAGAAGCGTGGGCTTCCTTGAGGATTTTCCTTTCCGGTGACTGGGCTCTGGGCTTGCATGTCCTATTTGGGTACCTCACTCTTGAAGAATGCTTTTGAACTTTCCGATCCAGAAAAGTACCGCTTAGATGACCCGCACCTGAGGGAAGTTTTCTATGGAGGAGTGGATCTTGTCAATGACATCATGTCCAAGGGGTTTGATGAGGATGGGCGATGTCTGGCAATGGAACCCGCTCGCCGTCCATGTGTCATTGAAAAAGACCGGATGCTCCCTACATCGGACGAACGACTGGTCTTCACTTGGCTTGCTGACCACTGGAGTAAGTACCGACAGATCATGAGGTTTGCTGGAACCAATCCCCGCAACTCGGACGAGCGAGCCATCCAAACCATTCTGTCTTTTGCTCGGACCATGATGTTGTGCTTGGCTATTCACCGGCATGAGATGGCAGACCCTCGACTGTGGTCTATGTGTGTGAACTATGCTGTTAGACTATCGAAATAGTTTGCTTTTGTTTCTACTGGGAGCCAATGGTGTAGGTCCGAACCCCAAACACAGAATCACTGGAGCCCCCCTTCCTGTCGTTGAATTGGGTTGCTAGGGTGCAACTGTGTCTGCTGCTGCATGGGGGTGAATTGAAGACCAGTTAATTAACTTAGGAATTACAAAGTCCCCGGATGAATTGAAGACCAACACGAGGGCCAAAGGGCTGAATATTGGTACATCGATGCAAGCATCTATCTGCAAACCTCGACTCTGTTTGTAAGCGGTGGCCATTTTGAAACTTTGAAGTGGGCACGGGGCACAGTGCATGCAGTGACATGGCAATGGAACCTGGTCGCCGTCCATGCGGCATTGCAACGGACCTAATACTCCCCACATCGGACGAACGACTGGTCTTGGTGTCTTAGCAGACAAGCAAAGAAGGCAGGTCCGAACCCCAAACGCAGAATCTGCATCGAATTGCTACAATGTTACATGTAGAGTGTAACCATGATGTTGCGAAGTGTAACAGCAGCTCTTTTTAAAAATTCACGCTTGCTACCGTACCTACGAGGGCTAGCTAGATATCCAGGGTACCCGCTGTACAGGAATCTAAAGGCGTTGTTGTTCGCTACCAAGGTACGAGTAGTACCTCGCTTTGGGTTTTGTGGTTGCGACTTGAAGGGGGCACTGGGCTTCATGTAGATGTGGTAAACCAAACATTTCAGACTGTATCAAGTATTCAGATCACAAATTAACTTTAACCCTAGATTTACCCTAACTACCCGTCTAAATCTGTCTTCCCGCGGAACTTGTCATTGGTACCGTCATTTGTTGAGCCCAAGAAAAGGCGCCAAGCAACAACCAAGCAAGAAGAGGAATGAGGTCGTCTTCTTGCTTCATAAAAGTTGAAAAGGTGCTTTGGCTGTGCGATTAAAGTTTCTGCCTCTGTTATTCTTTATCTACTAGCTAGGAAGAGCACAGCATGCCTCCCAAGCTGTCACCATCGGGTGCACTCCGCTTCGAGACTGAAGAGCACACGCTCTGTGGTCTCTGTCGAACTCCCTACAAAAGTTGTGAATGCAAGGGCTTGAAAGATAACCTTCATGACTGGTACGTTTGGCACGGTGTGCCTTCGACTATGATTCCATCAGCCAAAGATCGCATTTTTGTTGGTCTGCCTCCTCCACCTGACAATTCAAGTCGGACCAAGCTTGTGAAGAGATGGGTCAGTTTGGTAAACATTTCGATGATCATGGGACATTTTGATGCCAACCATTGGTTTAGTACCAAATGGGAAAGCTTGAATGCCTCGATGGACGCCCGCACAAAGCTCTTGAATGAGATGGTGGCAGATTATGTGGCCCAGTTACCAACGAACACAGAACTCACTGTTTTGGCTAGGGTCCTTGGTCTTCAAAGGCGAGCCATTGCAGGGAAAGTCGACGGTATAGCCAAAGAAGCTTGGGCTGCCTTGAGGATTTTCCTTTCTGGTGACTGGGCTTGCATGTCCAAGGCAGGCAGCAAGCTGTTGATGAATGCCTTCAATACTCGCGATCCAAAAAAGTACCCTCGGGATGACCCACACCTTGAAAGGATTCTTGATTCTGGAGTCAGTAGAATCTATGGTGTCATGGAAATGGGATTTGATAAGAAAGGATACTGTCTGGCAATGGAACCTGGTCGCCGTCCCTGTGGAGTTGGAACCAGCACCACCCTTGAAACATCCGATGAACGTCTCATCAGTAAAAAAGCGCGCAAACGAAAGACGACCAAGGAGTCCATTCCCACAAAGAAGCGACGTCGAGTTGAGAGTTGAATTATATTTTTTAAAAAGTAGATGTCTTGTGTTCGCTTCTTTCTTTGTTGCCGTTTAATCAAAGAGCAACGCTCAATCTTGATATTACCCAAGGAGCACTCCAGTGTTTTGCTGCTTCATGACTTGTCAAGGATTATTGTAACCATCTCTCTCTGAACTCGCACCAGTCCAAATCAATCACTCTATAACTAGTAGTTATAACTATTATTGCACACACGTGGCAAAGAGAGACGCCTCGGTCTCATTCCAATTCTTTTCATGCGGCGCAATACTGCCACTGCGAATGCCGCCACCGGCGGCTTGTCGTTTGCGATGAAATTCTCGATCCTGTTTGGGTTCTTTGGGCAAGAATCCCCCCTTGGGTTCTCGTACTTTGGGCGAGACAAACTGAGTTGCCTTGGCGCCTTGCGATTGTCGTTTGAGTTCATTGCGATATCCCATCATTTGGGCTTGTACCAATTCGGCCGAGACTTCTTCGCGTTCTCCCAAGAGTACTTCGGTTGCTTCTTGTTTGTATTTGCGTTTGGTCATGGCAATGAGTTTTTCTTCTTCTTTTAATTCTCGTTTTTTGCGTTCCATTTCTCGTTGTTCGGCGGCAATCCGATCTTGAATGGATCGTTCTTCGTCGGCGCGTTGGGATTGTCGGAGCACAATGAGTGCCTTGTGTTCTTCTTCATACGCTCTGATTTTGTCTTTGGCTTCTTCGGCATTGGGTTCTTCATTGACAATGGAAAAGACAATGTCTTCCTTTTCTTCTAGATAATTGTTGTATTCGAGCAGCGTTGGAAAATCGGCTTGACTCTTGTTGAATACCTTCATGACCCTTCGTCTCCAATCCGTGTCTTTTTCGCACAAGACATCGTCCAACGAACGATACGAGAGTGTCACGCGTTTGACTCGTGTGCGACAAATGGGACAAGGGAATTCCTGTATTGTCATAGAAAGAATGATTAGAAAACATCGATATCATCAGACCGTGACAGGGAAGACGAGATGACAGCTGCTTACCCTCTTTCGACTCAATTCACGCTCGATACAGGAATTGCAGCTGAAAAAGAAGAAGAAATGGAACGCACACATTTATTTGTGAGGTGATCCAATTAATCAACGCTTGTCTCTTTATCCAGTCCTCGATGCTATGCTCTACTTACAACTTGTGTCCACATCGGACCGTGGCATTCGTCTGAAGGGCATTCTGAGAGGACAGATTGGAGGCGTCCGTCTCGGTCACTCCGCAAATGGCACAACGAAACAAGTCGTCTTGTTCTTGATCCATAATTGCTATAAATACAGTAGTCTAGTATCAGTCAATCATTCAACGGGGGGGTGCTTTTTGTGATGTGTGGCTGTGTGGTTGTGTTTGTGTGATAGACAACGGCGGAAGAGCGTCGAAGTGCGCCATTGGCATCACGTTTCGTTTGTTCGTTTTGGGTTAGATCTCAGCCAGCAGAGATGTTGAAAACACATCAAACCATGATTTGGATCTTTTTGATCAGAGCCATCCAAAAGATCCTCTCCTCCATCTTCATCTTCATCTTCACCTTCGTCGGAGGTTCATTTATTTTCTTCTGTTGGTTTGTCTTGTGTTGTTAGGATAGTACTGTATGACAATGTTGCTCACAGCATCGGCTCGTGGTCGCGTGACGGCGACCATGCTATGGCGTCGACAGGCGACAGGACGGCTGCTTCCCGCAGTGGCCTCGTCGGTCGATAGTCCAATTGGTCCTTCCAGTGGTCCTTCTTGGATCACTACTGCTGGTACATGTAGTGGTAGAACTGCTAATAATGTCATGGCGGTTCGACACTTTTCGGCCAAGAATCGCAAACGAAAAGAAGAACGACGAAAGAAACGAGATCTCAAAAAGCAACTCCAAGGAGAAGAAACCCAACGGGAGGAGCCAGCGTCCAAGCCAGAACCGCCAACGGTAGACGAAGCCAAGCCATCACTACCTCCTGTGGTGACACAAACCAAGGCTGGCAGTCTCACCGACACGACAACTACTAATACTACAACAAATTCGTCCCCTACCATTACCGTGGATGGTGTCACGGTAGCAGCGGCAGCTCCCGACGATGAAGAGGAAGAAGAATTTGTGCCCAAGTATTCCTTGCCCGATCGAGAAAAGGAAACCGAATTGATTCAACGACAAACTCAAGTTTCCCAACTCTACAAGGAAGGACGCTACCAACAAGGTCTCGAATTAGCCGAAGAAACACTGGCCGCCATGAAAGAGCACTACACGACGGACGAATTTCATCCCGCCACGGCCAGTGCCTATTTAAATGTCGGTTTGTTTCACAAACAACTCGGACATTTCGATAAAGCCAAGGATCACTACCAACACGCCCTTCAAGGATACCAAGAAACCGTGGGAACCGATCATGCGTCGTACGCCATGGTATTGCACAATCTTGGAATTCTACATCAATCCCAAATTCATTTCGATTCCAATCTCAAGGCGACCGAACGGTTGCGACTCATGGAACAGGCGCTGGAATACCTCGAACGGGCCTATCAGATTCGAAAGGTCGAATTGCCACCGGCGCATCCGCATATTGTCGCCACGCAATCGGCCATGGGAATGACATTGACGGCACATATATTGCATCAACACAAACCCGTGTCTACTCAAGGAGACAAAGCAGCAGACAAGGTAGTCCCCATGGCAGCCAGTTACCGATCGGTATTGCCACCACATGTCACGGAACAATCCTGGGAAGCGGCCGAATTGCATTTGCGCACAGCACTCGACAAGGCATTGCGGAATCCAAAGGGAGAATCCTCCTTGAAGCGAGCCGATCGAAATCATTACTTGAACCTGCAACGCAAACAGGCATTGCATCAAAAACACCACACTACTAAGGACAAACAAAATGAAAAACAAGACGACAATACGCATCATCCTCCATTGCAAACCAGCAGTGCCGCCACTTCGGCGCAAAATTTAGCAGTCTTTTTAAAGGCACGATCCACCACCATAGAAACAATTCGACCCCAGTACAAGGCATGGGTCAAAGAGGCAGAAGATTTGTACCAGACGGCCTTGCAAGTACGAATGGCGTTGCTGCCCAAGGGACACCCGGATATTTACATTACCCAGTATTCACTTGCAGAGCTCTACGAGTATACGGGACAAGAGGAATTGGCGCAAGCTCTGCGACAAACGATTCTGGATACGTATGATCCACCAACGCAACAGCAACAAGAAGAACAACAACAAGAGCAGAAGCAATAGTAGGAATTGTAGGAATAGTAACTAAGATAGAGAGAGTGAGGAAGAAATCTTCTATTTCGAGTAGAATGGCAGCTAATCCTTTGAACCAAGCGAAGTATCATCAGACAGGATATCAGGATTGATGTGTTCTAGGCGTGGAGGCTCTTCTTTTCACGCTTTCCAATCTGTTGCTCCTCTCTCTCGAACGAAGGAATTCTCTGGTCAAGGCGCCTCAGGCTTATGTGCATAGACGTCAATCACTTGCGTGTGGACCATACCCCTGATGTTTCTCTCATCACACCATACAGCACTCCGAGGCTAGTCCATTGCAAAGGCGCTTCCAGAAAAGGCACAACGCTGCTCTTCTTGGAACGTCTATATTGGATTCTTTCCATGGTTGCCCCGTGCCAGAGTGCTGCAAGTGGGTTCTCCTCCTCCACCGCAGTCGAGGAGGAAGCAGCCCACTCTTCCCGGGGCTCCCCCTCCTCTGCGTGTTGATCGTCTGTTTCAGACCACGGGCCAAACTCAAAGGAGAGCAGATTGGAGTTGGCCTTGAGAGCATGAAGAATAGGAAGCACCCCCACTCGTTGTTGCTTGACGCATAACACGGGCACATTGATGTCAGAACGAATCATGTCCACGACCAACCTTGTCCACTCTGCCACACTATTGTTTGATCTGTTTCCACTCAGCGTCAGGGAAACCAGACGCGAGTACGTGGGAATCTCACGGATGCAAAAGGCTTTGAAAGCTTCTTCTTCAATTTGGTCAGGAGCAAGGTGCAAGGATTCTTCCATATGGCCACTTGGACTTTTGACCGCAGTGTATTCCGTTCGGACCCATTCTCCGCTGCAAAATTCAACCTCCCTGCCTAATGTACTCTCATCACCAAAACAGCTCTCACGGATCGCGTGAATCCACATCGGCACAGTATTATAGTCCAGGTGCCCGAGAGGCGTGGCCAGGTGCATTCGTAGGGTTTGCAGCTTTTGGTTGGTTTGCATTGCTTCTTTGAAAGCTTGTAACAGTTCCTCAATCGTCGTACCATTGTGGTTCAGGATGCTTATCTGGTCAAGCGTCACCAAAGAAGTGTTGGCCTTGAGATGATGTAGCAGTAGCAGTGAAAATTCAGGATCAGACGAAGGGTAGAAGAGCTGGAGCCTCTGAGTGCGGGACATCAGCAGACCAATGGACTCTGTGTCCGACAAAGCCCCATGGCGAAGGTTCAATATGATTTCAGTTGCTGTCGAGGGGTAAGTGTCCAAGGCAAACTGCACTATATCGTGGTTGCGCCCAAGGAGCGCCTGAATCGTGACTCGAGGTGGGATGGTAGTTGAACATCTCTTGATCAACAGTTTTGCTTCTGTGTCGCCCAGGCGTCCCAAGGCATTTGAGTACATGAGTTCATCGTTTGTGGGGATTAGGTGCTGCAATTGGGCCAAAACTTCGGCTGGGGCGTGTCGGCAAGCCAATTGCATTGTGTCTTGATCGAGGAGCTCTCCCAGCACTGAGTGGCATATTCGGATCAGCATCTTCAATGCACCTACACTCACAAATACAGGACGTTGTAGGAAGATCTTCAACACATTGCCTTCCACATTGATCCCACGGGGAGGGTAGCGACGGCCAGGGAGCTTGTGATCGAGACAAGCCAGATGCGGGTTTCGCCAACACACGAAGAGGACCCTCTGAACCAGCAATTGCTTGATCGGGTCGGAGGGTCTGTACCAAGCAAACGGCTTGCCATTGACAAGCTCGTTCAATAGCTCTGGCAACGGACCTCCGCATATCAGCAGGGTCATGGTTGTTTTGAACTCTGCCATTGTGTTCTGCTGTGTTTGAATTCTGCATTGTGGATCTAGCTAGTTGGTTTTCAACTTCCACATTTCTTGATTACGCGAAAGAGTGTTGGAGACAAACATGGGATTCCGGTGGTACCAGGTAAGACTGTGCCGGTACTGGTAACTGGTACAGGGTTTGGAGCGGGAGTCGAGTTGAGGCAAGTCGAGTTGGGCTCAGTCACCCCTCAAAGACTCCACTCGACTCCACTCCACTCCAAAAGGCAACCATCACATCAATCGCTTGGTGAACTGATCCACGCTCTGCTTCTTGGTACAGCAAGACCTGATTGGAATGTATATTATTCACTGGCATTGCTGCTGAGGATAATCTCTGATTGCCACTTGGACGCCCACACCAATGGGCAATCAAACAGGTTAATCACATGTCCGATGCAAGATTTCACACATAAAGGGTCTTGATCATCCTCATGACCCATAGTCCAGCAAAGGCAGCATGCAACCAACAGTCCAAGCCTTTGGCAGTATCAAGGTTTCAATGTCAGACCTTCTCACTGGTGCCCTTTGAGATACCGGCCAATTTTCTTGATGGTAACAGCAGGAGAATTCTTGGGGTTGTGAGCGAACCATGCACATTGGTGCACATCAAACTGGGTGTCAGGGCGTTTGTTGGAGGGAGATGTTGTTGATTGTAGTGAAGGGAGCAAGGGGTACCGGTACGGAAATGGTACCGGTACCGTACCTTCACAGCTCTGCCGCTTCATATCTTCTGGTTCCTTTGCCGACGAAAGAAGAACGACCATCTTTCATGCTGCATTTTTTGGAGTTGGAATGATTGTATCCAAATCATTCTCGAAGGCCTACTACTACTACACCAACAAGCAGAGCGTGTCGTAGTCTGGCCGACCTAATCAGATACAAGCCAGAGAATTCGTCGCTGATAAGTTTCGCCCTGAGAACCAATCTCCTCAGTCGAACTGAACTGACTGCTCAAACTCAATTCGAAAGGCATCGAAAGGGGCGAATTCAATCGCAACAACGCTAAAGCCAAAATACTGCCCATGTCGAGCTCCCCGTCCTTGTCCGATGCGCTGGAGCTACCAATCTCCAAGCGCTCCATCTCCAACCGCCTGCTCAAAGCGGCCATGACAGAAAGCTTGGCTGATCCCAATACATGTCAACCCAATGAACGCCATTTCAAGCTCTACCAAGCATGGAGTCACGGTGGCTGCTCCATGATTCTCACAGGCAATGTGATGGTCGATAGAGAACATCGCGAAAATTCTCGCAATGTTGTGCTGGATTCCAACAGTGACTTGGCGGATTTTGAAAAGTGGGCCAATATCATTCGTTCCACAACAACCACAAACAACGACAAGCCGTTGGCGATTATGCAATGCGACAATACCATTGTGCATTGACTAGTCTAGGGATCTAAGAGATGTAAAGTTTGTATTTCTAAATAAGTGAGCAGTTATTGATTATTTTCTAGAATAAGCCTGCTAATTGTAAAGCTGTAAAGCTGAATTGTAAGCTGTATCCCGTCGCACTCCCTTACAGCTGAAATGAAGCTGGAGCAAGTTGATTTTACTCTTGCTTTCTGTCAAAGCCCTCACCTGTCGACCAGCCACTGTACATGGAATTGCCTCAGTACTATCACCCAAAGGCTATGAAGGACAGGACTTGTTTTGAAACTTGACAAGTCCATCTATGGCAGACCGATTCACCTAAATTATTTTATGAGCATCTATGTCGCGGATGATCCAACTTGGTTCGAAACCTCGGCAGCAGACCCATGTTTGTTTATTCATAAGGAGCATCAACTCATGGATTAAAATATTGTGATGACCAAATCTGGCTCAGTCCAGACAAATGATCTGATTGAGTCCTATGTGGGCAGCTCCAGAAACTTGGTATGACCTCACCATGGAAGAAAAGGTGACATCTTTGGATTCCTCGGCATTAATTTTGAAAGACAGGGAGACAATGTTGAGCTTACAAAAAGGGCTCATCAAAAAGTCATCGAATATACTGGTATGTCTGACGCTAGCAAGAAGCTTTCTCCTGCCGCCACCGATCCTCTCGGAGCTGACAAAACTGGGGGCCCATTTGAAGAAGAGTGGAGCTATCCAGCTGCAGTTGGATGCTTCTTTATATTGCGTCGAACACTCGCCCAGACATCACATTTAGTGTGCACCAGGTGGCACGATTCAGTCACAATCCCCGGCATTCCCATGCTCAAGCAATCAAACGTATCATTCGGTATCTGATTGGCACAAGTGACAAAGGCATTTGTTTTAGCCCTAAACTTGATCAGGGACTTGACTGTTTGGGTCGATGCTGACTTCGCCGGATTGTATGGATATGAGGATGAACAGGATCCTGTGTCCGTCAAGTCTCGCACTGGATTTGTCCTGACTCTGTTTGGGTGCCCTATTATCTGGTCAGCAAGCTACAGACTGATATTACTTTGAGCTCCACTGCTGCTGAGTATGTTGCCTTCAGCATGTCAATGAGGGAGCTGTTCCTATGCGAGCTTTGCTCAAAGAAATTGGTAGCAAACTGAATATCCGGTAATTACTGACAGTCTCGTGCGCTCTACAGTGTTCGAAGACAAACCAAGGTTGCCTTCTCTTGTTGAATGTTCCCAAAATGTCTGCGCGCAACAAGTATTTGGCATTGAAGTACCATTCTTCAGGTCAATATCGGGGAGTCGAAAGGAATCGTGGCTAAGTATATTCCGACTCTGAACAACGGGCCGACATTTCACTAAGGGTCTTCCGGCTCCACAGTTTGCTGTCATTCGGAAGCTCCTCATGGATGGTAATTTACCTCAGCACTTTGCTGGGACTCTCTCCTATCGTTTC